GGTACAATCTCCGCCGACGACCCATAGAATTTGACGTGGGTTCGACCGTATGGTGTAAGAATCATGTTCTATCAGACGCAGCGAATTATTTCACGGCAAAATTGGCTGATAAGTACGTAGGGCCAATGACGATCGTAAGGAAGTTGTCACCGCTAGCGTATGAACTTCAGAACGACCAAGGGAAACTCCTGGGGGTGTACCATATTCAAGATTTGAAACCTCATCCAGAATAATATCTTAACCTTGCCCACCAAATAGTAGACTATCATACTATTATCTACCTTATTATTTTTCTGTTTGTCACGCTTTTCTTATTCACATTTTCACCGCTATAGATGATCGAAATCTATAGATTTCTCTCTCCAAGAAAGGGGGGAGTTGATACCTTTTTATTTTTCTTAAGAACTATTAGAGTTGCCTACCTTATTTCGTTTACCTAAATGGATAGATAAGTGCATACTTTCTCTTATGGTACTGTTTCTTGCCTTTTTCACATTATGGTTACCTTCTTAATATGCAAGTTTACCTTCTTAATAAGCATCTACATGGACGTCAATAAAACAACTGACTTTTGGTAAATAAACTCACTTTATTCTACATTCTTTTTAATATAAAATCTTGCTCCAAATGGTCAAGGATCCTTGGGGCCTAAAATAGCAAACATTTAGAACATATCTATGCCTGATTTTATGTTTTACTTACCATTTTTCTGCCTGTTTATGTTGTAAGATATTTTGAGGTTATGTTGATTGTTTTTATTGAATATAATTATGCCCGGGAGGTTTCGATGACTCTGAAGGGTAAATTATTGGTTGGTTTATGTATGGAATCATTCTTGTAGTGTACTTACTGTGTTTTGGAAGTAGTTTGGAGAGAATTGTTTTGCCGGTAATTTCATACGTCATTCAACATTCAGTGCTGCCAACCGCATAGCGGAATACCCTAATCTTCGCTTCAAAATTCAAAGTTTTTCTGTTCCGGTAGTGCTGCAGGTTTATTAGATATGTGACAATTTCCCTAGAAAAACCGGAAAAGCTTCGGCCATGATTGTTCGTCGAGATCTCGGTGTGAAACGTTGCTCGCAGGATATTTTGAAGTATCGACTTGTGTTTATTCGATCCGTTAGTTTATACGGGATTAATCTTCAAAAATACCTTTGGTGGACATTTTAAGGCTATTTGGTTTTTGTATTTTTGGCGATTTCGAGCCTTAAAGTCCTTCGCAATTTGGCGGATTCATCGAGCACGTTTTGGTAAGATCCGAATCTCTGCTTATTCTCATATCTAATAGCCCCATCTCTCTAGGACTGATTTCTGACAACATTCTCATAGCCGCATCCACCACCGTCCTGGATATTTTCCTACGTTTTCACTTTTCTTTCTGAAAATACCGGACCAGGCGTAAGTACAAACATTTTTGTTTCCTAATTAAGGCAATTGTGTAATTTTGTTCATTCCTTGTAGGGCTCCTCTTTCTTATATGCTCCTCTTTCTTATTAGGACCGCTTTTAGGACCTTTTTTTTTGGCCCATTACGACTATTTAGGCCGTTACTACGTCGTAATATTTGAGTAAATAACTTGACTTACCTTTTTCACCATATTACTGGTGAATTTCCATTGCCGAGAGGGGCATTCTTTTATGGTACAGCCATCCAACGGTGGCCATATCCAGTACTTTTTTTGAGGGGTTGCCCAGCTAAACACCTACCACCCCGATTTGTGACCTTCAATACCGATTTGTGACCATCCATACCCGCACCGAGAGACGAAGACTACATCTGAATGAGTAGCACCCCCGATAGTGACCAAGCATCCCTGGATTACGATAAGTTTTATCAATTTCTTTATTTTTTTATTATAAATTCAAGAATTTGTAGATGGCGTCCTTAAGACCCAATTTAATTAGTATTCATTAATTGTTTTAATTTATTTTTGTGTCCTGTCAAATAGACAGTTTTACTGAGACTGATATATATACATTTAACTTACCTTATTAAATTAACTGTCAAAGTGACAGCCACTTATTCGTTGGTTTACGCAATCTTTCTAGTATTTTGAATAAGATTCTTTAGTTTTTGTCCCACACAGGGGAAATTATTGGGAAATAATTAATTTCTTTTCTGGTTTATATATATATATAAAAAGGTACCTAGGTACTATAAATTAATTTTAATTTGGGAATTATAACTTTTTTTTCTTCTTTATTTCATTTGGCATAAGCTTTTTCAAAGACAAGTCCTAGAAAGATTGGTGTATACTGGGTTGCCTAACCCAAACTCATTAAGAGTGATTCTTTTATTTTATTGTTTAATAACTTTTTTTCCTGTAAACCAGGTGATATCACTACGGTAGTATTTTTGGATAATAGTAACTTTATTTGAATATTTAAATATTATTTATATGGGGTTGAACCCCCTCTTTAATTAAATTTGTAGTAATTTTTATCTGACTGGTGTATTTAAACACTAAAATTATCAAAACCCTTGTACATAGAACTCACCAGACGATTATACGATCTTAAATATATGTGATAATTTTAAATATAGCCTTTTTCTTTTAATTTAGAGTATATATGGTAATTTATATGTTCTTTACTTTGCAATATAGCCTGTGTAGACCTAATTACCCGGCGCCCTATTCTATAACCACTTTACTTATTGTGTGAACCACCCCCTCTCCACTGTTCAAGCTGGTCGAAGGCATAATTACACCGAAATTGGTTTGTATTTATAAATTTTGCGCTTAGATTTTATTTTTGGTGTAACAGCTGATCTTTTGACAGGGCTCTTAAAACATGTCAAACCAACATATTTTCACAAGAGACGAGAAGAAAAAAAATATTCTTTTTTTTGGGACACCCTAGTGTATATATAATATACATAATAATAATTATAAAAATTATTTCCATCAAACTTTACCTTGAGATCCACACAATCCATACAATTTTTCGACGAGGCGAGGGGGCGATTTTCTCTCGAAAAAAGGCTCGAGACGAGACGAGAGAATGCCCTCTCTCGCTCGAGAATTTCTCGTTTCTCTCGATTCTCGTTCTTTCTCGTTCTCTCGATTTTTCCGTAATAAGTAAACAATGCGCATGAGGAGCGCATGCGCATTATTCCAAATTTTTGCGATTTTCTCAAAATATTAAATCGATTTTAAGATTCCCGACCTCCAAATTTCAAATCTTGCCAATTCGGAGATCGTCGAAACGTTTTTCTGGCCAAACTAAATGTACCAATGAGAACATTATTCGTATTTCATAATAAACAAAATTTGTTCCTTATACTATTAAAAAAAAACATAAAAAATTCAATAAACTTATTAACTACATGTGGTTTTTGAGGGGCTGATATTTGATATCCATTTCTTCAAAAAATAAAATGGCTGATTCAATACGACGAAAATTTGTCGTTCGGCTTTAATGGTTTGTGTAAAATTTAGTATTTAGATATTTATGTAGTCTCTAATTAGGAATTTGATATCCATTAAAAAACAAAATTGCGGATTTAAAATGACGGATATCTATGCCCAGTAGATACAAGATGGTTGGACCTATGTGGAGTAGTTACATCTAGTATACAGGCACAGTAGTTTTCAGATGATTTGATCCATCCATTTGAAAACTACTGCGCCTATATACTAGATGTAACTACTCCACATAGATCTAACCATTTAATTCAAATGCGCGACATTTTCGGCGTAAAAAGTCTTACTTTATCAGTAATTTTTTTATTGCCAGTTTAAATTTCTATAGAAAAAAATATTAACGAATTCGTATTTCATTCCAAATAATTTTTGTATTTATACATAGCTACTTTTACCTCGAGAGAAACGAGACGAGACGAGAGAAGGAATTTTCTCGCCTCGTCTCGTCTCGGGGCATCACTACTTGTGCTATAATTTATGTGTATAATTGATAGATTTATAGCCTGTCCACAATTTTTTTTTGCAAAAGCTAATTTTATAGGTTTTTTTAACGAAACAAAATATATATTTTTTTAATTTTTGCAAAAAGAAATTAAGAAAAAAAACGAAAATATCCCAAAAAACCGTTTTCAATTTAAAGGGTTCGGGTTCGGTCTCTACAGTTACATTTAAAAAATAATATGGGTCCAAAAACGGTCCGGTCCGAGTCCCTGTTATCCTGACACAATTACTGGCAGAATTTATAATTTCTTGCAAATGCCAGTTTGTACTGGAAAATCGGCAACACTGCTAATAAAGCATTTCACTTTCTGATGTGATGATCTGATGTTGCTACTGGAGTTATAAAGGCCTTACGTTAAAAAACAGCGTTTACTATATATGTTTCACCGCTGTTTTTATACAATGAACAGTATACACCGACATCCCTGCCGAAAATGACCCATAGAAACCAATAAGAGAATGAAATGGTTTGTACCGGACTGAATATGTGTATTGGTACCGGTTTTATTGGGTTGTATATGTCGCCAAACGGTTTTAGGGCTAAATGGGAATTACCCAATCAAACCAATTCAAGACAATTATGTTTTACAATTGATACCAATTCACCAGATTCAAACCTATAAGACCCAATACCTTACAACATAAATTCCCATTGGTTTCTATTGTTCTTAAAGGGGCATTTTCGGCAGGGATGGCACTATCCACTTTCAACACAAATGTCTGCCCATTCTGAGGGTATAATTACTAAACTAGAATATGATTCTGGGTAATTAACTCAGAATTAATAAATCTGTAGTTACTTTTTTGCGTATGAATATAAGAATAAAATTTAATATGCAACTAGAATAACATTTTATTTGTAACATAGGTAGTAAATGAAATATGTCTAAATTTATTTCAACATGCAGCACAGCAAGTATTTCCTTTAAAGTTGTAGGAAAGTTGCCACAAGGATTTTTATAACATTTCACCCAACAAATGTAACGTTAAGTAACATTGTAAAAGTATTTATTTAACGTTTTAAATTTAAAGTAATTATGTTTGATATATGTATATTTTATTTAATTTTGCAGTAGTGACTTCTCGGAAGATGATGAGTTATTTATAGATAATCCGAAATCTATTAAAACATCCAAGTTTGATCCAAATATTCCCACTAGATTTATTATTCACGGCTGGACACATAGTAGAGATGTTCCTTGGATTATTGAACTAAGAGAATGTATGTATATAAATACCATAAATTCCCATACTATATTGTCTATTCTGCAGAAAAATTAAAAACTCGAAAAAATCACGGTTTTGTGAATTCTTAGATGCTTTGCATGGCCCACCATGTAAACAAGTTTACCTAAAACAAACACTTAGTAGATTAAAGTAAAACGGAACACCCTATACCTACCACATACTTCAACACATATACTTACAAATCGTTTAGGACGGATACTGTTTCCTTTTTTGGTGGGGTTAAAAAAGGGGAAGTGAAAACCAAGTATGATTGCATTGAGGCGCATGCGTGGACGGCATTGTCGGTATTAAAATTAATACCATAATTTGTCCTTGTAATAGTCCTTATTTCGGAAAAGTAATAAATACTTTTTAATTAATTGTATATTAATTTTATAAAAAAAAACATTCAAAAATATTAAATACTCAAAATAATAATATTTTAAGATTTTATAATGGCACGTACGTTTAGAATAATTGTAAAACGTATTTTATTTCGAAAGCAACCATAGCCAAAACCAATAACACTTTGACTTAACCTATGCGTTAATTGAGATTTATAACTTAATCCAAGATGATTTACAAAAATTAAATTAAAGTTTTTAAATTTGATATAACCCAAATTTCATTTAGTTGACAATTCGTTTAATATATTTTAAATCCCCCTCTATCGCATAAGGTAGATCATACTCTAAACCGACCAATTTTCCCTCAAAAAAGAAAATAAGGTCATCCATACAAAATATATAACGAATAAGCAGTATGTGTGGAAGTACGTGCCCTAAACCGCATACTTGCACACTAGGGTGGGCCGAAAATCCGCTTTTTTAGAATTTCGTTTAGTAATAGCAAAAATTTTGTTCATTATTTTGTAAAAAAAATTTGTGTAAAAGATTAAAATTTTCGATCAACATCCTAGGCTCGCCCAACGCAATTAAAGATCAAAATGTTCAAAAAAAATTTTTCTTAATTTATTTCGATCGGAAATTTTATGCTCTACACAAAATTATTTCAGATGGATAGTTTCAGAAATTTGTTCATTATGTTGTAAAAAAAATTTGTGTAAAAGATTAAAATTTTCGATCCTCATCCTAGGCTCGCCCAGCGCAATTAAAGATCAAAATGTTCAAAAAAAAATTTTCCTAACTTAATTCGATCGGAAATTTTATGCTCTACAAAAAAGGTCCTTACACTAAATTACTTCAGATGGATAGTTTTAGAAATAAACCCGATTTTAGTATCAAAATTTTTTTGAACATTTTGATCTTTAATTGCGTTGGGCGAGCCTAGGATGTTGATCGAAAATTTTAATCTTTTACACAAAATTTTTTTACAACATAATGAACAAAATTTTTGCTATTACTAAACGAAATTCTAAAAAAGCGGATTTTCGGCCCACCCTATTGCACACATATACAAATAATTTCTAACTGAGACTATTTCCTTTTCGTGGGGTTAAAGTAGGGGAAGTGAGAATCACACGGTTGATTGCATTGAGGCGTTTGCGTGGCATCATTTCCGGTTTAACAAAAATATATATTTTGGTCCTGTTTAAGAAGTATTATAAATACTTTTTATTAAATTGTATAAAAAAACCATTTAACAATAATATACACACAAAATTATGATATTTTAGATTTTATAATGGCATGTTTATAACAGCATATTAATATGTAGATGGTTTTTATAATTAACCATTTTGTTTGTTTTCTGTTGTATACAAATTGTTTTGGCATTGTTTTTTTTTATTGTGTTTACGAGATTTTTAGTGGATTTTACATAATATGCATTTTATGCCACTTTTTATAAATCCAAACCACAGAAATGTATGTAAGTTTAACCTGGACGATGTAAGCAAATGATTTAGAAAAATTCAATTTAGTCCGTATCATATGTGGACGTATTAATATGTCTATGGTATCGTATATTTTAAATCCCCCACTTATGAACTGACTATTGGCATAAGGTAAAATGATAGGGCAAATCGACAAATTTCCCCTCAAAAAATGAAACAAGGTCATCTGTACAAAATATATCGAATAAGCGGTATATGTGTGGAAGTATGTGCCCTATACTTATTCCTGGCTCCACCTATATTTCAAAAGTTACACTTTTAAACTATAATGTCAACGAATTAAAGGTTTCTAGAATACACAGGTATTTAGCATGATTAATCAATCCATCAAAGTGATGGATTGATGTCGCTTTTTGATTCGAATAGGAAATAATCGCAAGTTGCAATGACCGATGCAACATAATAATTAGATTATTTGACAAATATTCACTCATAACCATTTAACGATAAGACGGTGAATTATTCAAAAGCGATCAAGTGCCTAACAAACCGCGAATCGAGCTTGCGAAGCCCAAATTAAGATCTTTTTAGAGTGAATCATCTTCATAAACAGTTTGTATCATATAACGCAATAACTCTTTTACATTTACATCATTTTACAAACTTTGAGAGAATGTCAATAAAAGATCTCTTTCAAACGTTGGTTTACTAATATTCTGTATTTTTCAAAATTTGGTTATTTTTGGAATGCAGGTTGCCACCTACATATGGGGCAAAATTTACCAAGTGTACCAGGTGAAAAAAATGTTGTCACCGATTTTGTTTAAACTTTACTTATTTGTTGTTCTTATAAGAAAGAATCATAGCATACATTTTTTTTTGCTCTAGGATTGTTCATTCAAGAGTTATGGATTATTGAAATTTATCGATTTTTTACTTTTTGGTGAAATCGCTTTTTATTTAAAAATTAATAACTTCTGTTCATCTCTTTATTAAATATTTCAATTTAACCACCTTAAATGATTTTTCCGTACTTTTCAATGGGCTATACCGTTTTTGCAAAAAAATAAAAATTGCAATTTTTTTTGAAATTTTGCAAAATTTTGCATTTTTGAAACAATGTGTATTTTTTAATTTTTTTTAAATAGCATAAAATCCAAGTTTATTATGTTACCTTTGAATAAAAAAAAAAATTTAGAGTGGGCCCGACATGTAGAAGGGAAGTTTTTCATATTTGAATGCCGCACGGTCTAGCCATCGAAGAGCTACTACACTGCCGTATGCGTTTATACCTAGTAGATGCGAGTAAACGAATACAAAATGATAATTTAAAATGTAAAATTATGTTTGAGTAGTCAATGATGTATTTTAAATATTTACACTGCCGCACGATATAGTTTTTTAACTGTATTTTTTTGCACAAATTGTTTAAGCATGGGTCTACATAAATTTCGCAAGGATGATAGATGATATTAAATAAAAAATTTATTGTTATAACCGTAATGGCTTGCCTATAAGCTGAATGGCGCCTTTACGGTTATAACAATACATTTTTTATTTAATATCATAGACCCTCCCTGCGAAATCTATGTAGACCCACCCATGCTTAAACAATTTGTGCAAAAAAATACAGTTTATATACAAAAGTGCTCTTTTAGTTCCACCCTTACTTCTTAAGAAGTCCCATAAGCCAACTGAATGGCTTGTGCGGGTTAGGGGTAGGAACGGACCGCGGGCTTAAAGTCCCCTCCGAAGGACTAATACGCAATAAAAAAAACTATATCGTGCGGCAGTGTAAATATTTAAAATACATCATTGACTACTCAAACATAATTTTACATTTTAAATTATCATTTTGTATTCGTTTACTCGCATCTACTAGGTATAAACGCATACGGCAGTGTAGTAGCTCTTCGATGGCTAGACCGTGCGGCATTCAAATATGAAAAACTTCCCTTCTACATGTCGGGCCCACTCTAATTTTTTTTTTTTATTCAAAGGTAACATAATAAACTTGGATTTTATGCTATTTTAAAAAAAATTAAAAAATACACATTCTTTCAAAAATGCAAAATTTTGCAAAATTTCAAAAAAAATTGCAATTTTTATTTTTTTGCAAAAACGGTATAGCCCATTGAAAAGTACGGAAAAATCATTTAAGGTGGTTAAATTGAAATATTTAATAAATAGATGAACAGAAGTTATGAATTTTTAAATAAAAAGCGATTTCACCAAAAAGTAAAAAATCGATAAATTTCAATAATCCATAACTCTTGAATGAACAATCCTAGAGCAAAAAAATTTTATGCTATGATTCTTCGTTATAAGAACAACAAATAAGTAAAGTTTAAACAAAATCGGTGACAAAATTTTTTTCACCTGGTACACTTGGCAAATTTTGCCCCATATATTACATATATTAAATCAAATCATATTAAATTTATTATTATGAATATTAATTTTATTATTTAAATCATATTTAATCAGATTTTAAAGATTAATGTTTTTAGTGATGGCATCTAGAAATTACGGAAATATAATTGTTGTTGATTGGGGCAAATTGGCACACTCGATGTACGTAGAAACAAGGGAACACACCGTTCTAACATCCAAACAGCTTGCACGGTTACTTATTTTTCTGGCACGTGACCAAAAGATCCACATGTCTTCTGTCCACCTGATAGGACATAGCATGGGTGGTCAGATATCAGCTTCAGCCGCTTATCAAGTTCAGCAAGCTTTAGGTCAAAAAATTGGCAGAATTACTGGCTTGGATCCCGCTTCTCCGTTATTTGAATGGCCCGAGCCTGATAATTTAAATGAACTGCTGGATTCAAGTGATGCTTTGTTTGTCGATGTTATTCACACAAATTCTGGTCATTTGGGAATGGTGAAGCCTGCTGGACATGTGGATTATTATCCCAATGGTGGCGATGATCAACCTGGATGTGGTTTTTGTAAGTTAAGAAGGTTTTATGAAAATACCACATTTATAAAGATAAACTAAATAATAAAAGAATAAATGCAATTAATTATAATATGCAGGAGAAATTTTTGTAGAAAATAAATTATTTTAAGTGGTTATAAAAGTTGTTCAAAATCAGCGAGACCAACGTTCCACGTTATATGGACGTTGTGGTCTAATTTTTTTCTGATCAGTCCTTATCAATAAGGAAAAATCCTTATCAATAAGAAATGTCTTTTAGCGACGCGTTGCGCACGACTACCCTTATGACTGTTTTCCTTAGCCGTTAATTCGTATGCAATTTATTGTTTTAAAAAGTCATATATATTTCTTTATTTTAAGACTTAAAATAATAATAATAATAATAATAATAAAAATAAACTTTATTAACGGTAAAAGAAAACCATAAAATATAATAATAAGAATAACAATTGTTATAGGGTTAAGTCACATATTCAGCAGTAATACTATAGGTACTATACCTGATCAGTCGTTATCAATAAGGAAAAATCCTTATCAATAAGAAATGTCTCTTAGCGACGCGTTGCGCACGACTACCCTTATGACTGTTTTCCTTAGCCGTAAATTCGTATGCAATTTATTGTTTTAAAAAGTCATATATATTTCTTTATTTTAGGACTTAAAATAATAATAATAATAATAATAATAAACTTTATTAACGGTAAAATAAAACCATAAAATATAATAATAAGAATAACAATTGTTATAGGGTTAAGTCACATATTCAGCAGTAATACTATAGGTACTATACACCAATTTGTTTGTGTAATTTGTTTCTTAAATTAAACTAAGTTCAAAGAAAAAAAATTTAGTTCAAAGTTGTTCGCCAATCTGCACCCCCTATCGATCGGAGAATAGTAACCATAATTAGTTCTGTGCATATTAATGAAGAATATGGGGTATGTCTAGTTTGTGGCACAGACAAACGAATGCTATATAAGGTTATTGAGTATTTTATAAATGAATAGAATATCAAACTCCTGTCTAATCGATAGTGGTTGCAGACCTACCAACAGTCTCAGTTCTCTATAATTAATATTATCAACTCTTATGTTGAGTTTAAATGCACAAAGGCGAAGAAACCTATCTTGGACACGTTATAAGGCAGTTAAACTCTAAAATTGAACGTATATATGAAATAAAAATATTTTGAGAGCAATTAAACAGAACTCCAAGATCTTTAATTGAGTTCACAACTTCTAAAACATTGTTATCAATAGAATAGCAAAAAAACAATGGATTTTTGTTCCTATAAAAATTAATATCCTTGCATTTTTTAATATTAAGTTCCATACAATTCAACTCGCACCATGAATTTAGACTGTTCAAGTCAGACTGCAACTTACCACAATTATTAAGTGATTTAATTTCGAAAAACATCCGCAAATAGAAGGCATTTGCAAAACTTTAAATTTAAATTAATATCATTAATAAAACAGTTGAATAATAGAGGTGACAAATGTCCACCTTGAGGAACTCCAGAGGAAACAAGAATAGGTCTAGACTGGTAACAATTATCAATTAGAATTACGAACGATCGGATAAATAATTAGAAATCCAATTCAAGAAAGTACCGCGTATACCCAGTGCATCAAGCTTGGACAACAATAATATATGATTAACTCTGTCAAACGCCCTGGAAAAATCAGTTTAAATGGCATCCACCTGACCGCGCCTCTCCAGTACGTCCAACAAAAATTTCTCATAAATAACAAGATTAGTTGATGTCGACTAGTCGATTAGTGAAATCTTAGATATAGCTAGAAAATTTAATACTACGGAGTTTTAAATTAAACACAAAAAGGATTTTTTTAAATTGCACAGTTACTTCTTCTCATAGCCCGTGGCTTGTCCGGGTTAGGATTAGGAACAGACGGGCTAAATGTTTTAAACATTTTTTTACAAAAAAAGCACATTTTTGATTTTTGAAACATTTTATTAAACTCCACATCTGTAAAAATCTCTTTATATAATTAAAATTATCTAGATGTAAACCATGGCATTGCAAATACTTAAAACTGGACCTAAATATTAATGAAAATATACTTATATCAAAGTATGTTTTTAAAAATAAATCAACAACCAGTAGCAAGAAAGAATCAATTACATCAAAGCGAGAAAATTAAAATTCCATAATAAACGACCAGTTATTGCAAGGTGGAGGAAAAACAGTCAGAATAATTATTATTAACTTAAATATAAATAGTTTACTCAACAAAACTAAGGAACTCAATGTGTTTCTCCATTCCATAAATTATCCAGACGTAGTTTGACTAACTCAAAGTTGAATTACTGAATCCATAACCAATGTTACTAAAATTCATGGATATAATTTTGTAGGCAAATATTGTAGGACAACATCCAGAGGCAGAGGAACACTTATACTAATCAAGGATGAACTTAGGTTTGCAGTAAAGTTTTTATCCTGCTTTTGGGGTTGCTTCTGTCAATGTTTATTTAAATAATCCCAAACATACTATAAATATTTCTTGCCTATATCAATCCCCTATTGCAGACGATTGTTTCTTTTAAGATGAACTAAAAAAGTTATTACTAAATATCAAATGTTCCATATGTGAAGATTTTAACTATAATTTCAATAAAAATTCAAAAGTGGTTAATAAGATAAAAAAAATAACATATGTTTTGTACATAGCTTTATTTATCTACTTTATTGTGTTTAAATTATAATGCAATCAAATAAAAATTGCCAGAATGGCAATGGCAACAACCGCGCGTGTTAAAATTTATATTTACGGTCATTTTCGCTTGTACGGCTTAAGTCGTAGGACGAAACATCCTGGGAAAAAAAGTAACACCCTTCAACAGTTTAACATGCCACACGAATTCTGGTAGGTAATCATTACGAAAATGCACGTATTGTGTTTTAACCCTTAGTTAGTTTGAGTTAGAGAGAGTTCAACTTGGAAAGAGTAATTAAAATTATTTACCTATTTAAAATTACATAATTAAGTTACATATTCATACATACAGGGTGGGCCAATAGAAAGTTGCCATCCCGGTTTTCTCAGTTGATACGTAAAAAAAATACAAAACGATTGCATACATCTATTTTAGGGGGACAATTTATTTTATATTTAAAACCACAAACCAACCGGGGCCGATTGTTACCCCTCATTTTAAAGGACTTTTAAATTCCTACATTCTTGTCCACTAGTTTTTAAAGTCAATTGGTTCATTTCGAGATATTTAAGAAAAACTTAATTTTTTAATTTATTTTCCTCTTAAATATAACTTTTGACACGCGCGATTGTTCTGAGTGGCATTTTGCTAATTTTTATAATCTGTGTTTGATTGGCACAATAAAGTAGATAAATAAAGCCACACAATTTTTTAAATTTTATTAAAATCCCTCCTAAAGTAGTGGCGACTCGGCAAGGGAATGGGGGACTGTTGTATAGATTGGTTGAAGATTTATCATCTGTATCTGTTCTCGAGGAGCTGACTTCGGTGGTGTGGCTCCTTTCTTTATTGGCTGTGTTTCTTCTTCGCTTATTGATGTTTTTTCTAAATCCTGATCCAGTATTGCCAAACCTTGTAAGTGGCATTCATTGTTATTGCAGCGATAATGGTTGTTATGCAACTGGTTGCGATAAAGTGTTGTTTTATCGCTTTCCATGTTGTGGATTTCAGGTCTTCTTGAATATTCCTTTCGTCATTGAAAACACTTTCCAAATGATCTGATCTTACCACGGGCTCGATTTGTTGAATGATTGGTTGATTGTTGTTCTTCAACATCTCTTGGTTTGCCTGAATATGCCTGGAATATGATGCAATGACGGAAACTGCGTTTATCCTCTTTGGGGTGAGAATGTTCTGCTTGGTTTTTATGGAACATTCTTGGGAGATCTGAATAATGCATGGTGAATAAATGGTGGCCTCTTCCCTGACACCGTTGTACGTTATTGAAATCCTGGATTAATTGGTTGGAATCACCATCCACACGTTTCCCATATATAATTCTTTCCAAATGTTCTCGTGTAGGGGTCTTTTGATTATTTTACATTTGGTTGGGTTTTCTCGTTGATATATTTCATCTATGAGACAATTGGGAGATGTTTCTATTTTCTTCACACTTGCTGGTGAACACACATAACGGTTTGTTGAAGGCTGGATGGTGTTTTTGAATTCTAGTGAGGACAGCTGGAAATACAACTGGTTGTTGTAGTTTTCTGCCAAAATTGAATCGGGAAATCTGTGCTCCAGTAGGTGTTGTTTTGTATCCGTAGAGGAATCGAGGTGAACTTTAACATCGAGAAGTCATGTTTTCCTACTAGTAGAAATTGACTGTAGACGTGAATGTATCTGTTGTCTGTATTCAAGAATGTCCTTATTGTGGGGTGGTAAATAATGTCTACTGCTGGTTGCAACTTTCTCGGAGCTTCGTTGAGGATGTGGTTTACATGATTTGCTGATTTCCGGTAAACAAACAAAATTGGACAAAACAATAAAAAAATGGACTTGAGAAAATTTGGTCGAGAAGTACCTAGGTCTCGTATACTGTCTATAGACAGAAAAAGGGTAAATTTCGAGTTTCCACCATTATCGATTTTTAACCCACCGGGATTCGAGAAAAAGACATTCAAAGTCAACAGAAAAAAATGTTGTTTAAAATTTCATTTCCGGTCGATCCATACATTTAAAGGTAAGGTGAGGTGGGGTAATTGTGATGTAAAATTTGACTAGTGTAACTTAAAAGATGTATTAAAATTTGATTTTTATTGCAAATATTGTGTAAAAATTCCTGAATAATCCTTGGTCCTTCACCAAACGATATCTTTAACCTAAACAATAAATCGATACAGGGTCTACCTGAAAATTATTATTATTATTTTTTATGTCAATGTATCACATTTGCCCGAGATTTTGGGGCAAATGTGATAATGGACCGTTCCAACGGAGGTAGGTATCTTGTGGGGTAAATGTAAAAATCACAATTTTTCTGTAAATTTTGCTTTTTGAATCATTTAATTATTACAAAAAATAAGAAAGTTATTCTACAAAAAAATAAAAAATTAAAAATATAAAAAACTTAACACAAATTGTAGCCGCCAAACTTCAGTGGAAAAATATACTAGCTCTAACCGGCTCAAGTAGATCAGGGATGTAAGTTTTGTCAGTTTAGTACTAAAGAAAGCAATTTTAATGTTTTTTTTTTAATTTTACCATGTAATATCACATTTGCCCCATTTTTACATTTACCCCACTCCACAGGAGTGAAGCGAAGCTTCCGCTTATAGGGTGATGATTTTAATTAAAATTACGACTTTTTAGATGATTTTTCCGACCTTTGAATCTTAAAATGTAAAGGAGTACGTTAGATTGATTGCATAAAAATAAAAATCCCAGAGGAATTGGTATTTATGAGACAGCTTATAACATTTTTATCAATAATTAAAGAGTCTTGAATGATGACGGTTGATGACGAGGGGTGTGAGGGTAAATTCTTTTGGGAAAAAACAAAAAATATATAATAACGTCAACAGGGGTGATGATGAATAATGATAAGGGAGAGGGAACGCATTCGGAAGAAAAGAGATGCATGATACGGCCGATCTCGGCCGCACAGAGGACTAATAAAGGTTTAAATATCAACATTATTAAAGTTATTTAAGACTAAAAAATAGTAAATTTCCGATTTATTTATACAATTCAATATCAAGTTAAGGTATATTTAAAAGAGGTAACATTAATGCAAATAAAAATAGTTTATAATCCTTTTGAAAATTTGTGTTAGGGTTAGGTACGTTTTTATTGATATAAATACAATTGATGTTGAATTGAAAAATATTTTGTTCTACAAGCGTGCGGAAAGTTGCTACTTTCCGCACGCATAACTGTGCGGAAAGTAGCACTTTTCCGCACGCAAATACTTTCCGCACGCAACCCCGCAATTGTTAAGCAGAGTAGTAGCATTTTCATTATTGGTTTCTATGGTTTTTAAAATACTAAACATAATTAAGTCCTGAAACGTCAAGGTTTTGAGTTTAAAAATGGAAAGTGAAAGTGAAAATTACGAGATTCCCGAGTATATCCTGGAAGAAGCAAAATCCATCGACTCTTTGGTCGAGATATTCGATGTTAAAGGCGGTGGCACAGTTTTAGACGGTCTTCGACGACTATACTTGCTGATTCAGGTGCAAATATTACATGTATAAAACGGCATGGAGGCTGTAAATTCAGTAGCGTGACAGAGGGGTACATAAAGCAATTGGTGGAAAATAAGAAAGAAATATCCAATAAAATTTTAGCAAGTGTAAGCAGCTCCATGCCCATGCAAAATACCAGTCAGTCAGCATGTTCTTTGCTAGGAAATCACCCAGAAGAAAAAAGCCTTAGTTTGCCATCAACATCTGACATCTTAGCATCGGCAATAAATTTGCAAAACGCAACCAATTGCAGTTTTAGTATAAATATTACAAATAATTAGACTAAGTACATAGTTGTGTTATTATTTAAAAAATGTATTGTGCATTAATGTTAAAATAAAATATTTTCCATATTATTTCATGCGCTTGTAGAAAAAATATTGTACATACCACGCGCGGAAAGTGTCTTTTCCGCACTCGACTGATGACCGAACTCCGCTACGCGTCGTTCGTTCAACGGCAGTCGCGTGCGGAAAAGTAGCACTTTCCGCACTAGTTAGGTAAATAACTATTAAAGAGCCTATATTAATTCACTGTGCGGAGCGTTCTTTGTCCTAAGGCAAACTCAATGCAAATGACGATTTTAAGAGCTGGCATCTGCGCATCCATGGGCGTGTACATTCGTACGTCTCTAGCTATATTTGCCAAGCTGTAATATATGGACGACCCCTAAGGAACACGAATAATAATATTAAATTTGTCTGAAGATCAGTATCGTAGCTAAAGGAAAAGAATAATTCTTTTAAAGGCCCAATTTAACGAAAATTGTAAATCTTTTTCTGTTGACTATAAATTTATTGGTCGACATTTACAAAATTCAGGAACAAATAACAAAATTTTACAAAATCATCAAGCATGACGATAACGATTTGAATTACTTTTCAAGTCTATATTATTTACTTCCCTGACTAAAAAATTTTAGTTACATATTTAAAATAACTTGGCATCAACAAAAAATTGATTTTTATGATTTTTTAAAACATTAAATAAGAAAAAAAGACGAGTTTCTGAAAATTTTATGAAAATTGTCTATTTATTGTTTGACATTACCATCAAGAAGACGGCGAATTTGTCGAATAATCCTTATAAGTCTTTACAAAATAAATAAGTAAACTTTTTTATCTACTATATTCAAATCGATTAGCTGTTAGTTAACATTAGATGTGGTCGGCATTAGTCGCCAGCCACAGAAAAATGAGAATTAGAAATTAATTTCGTATTTTTGACAATCTATAACTGAATATTTTTTGGAAAATGCCGATTTTTCAAAATCCCCGAAATTTTGTTTATTGGAAAAATTGGAATATATTATTAAAATCTTTTAAAATACCAAATCCAAAAATCCAAATCCAAATTTTGACAGAATTTGTTTTATTTAAAACCGATTGGTTAGCGGACAAGTTGAATTTTTTTTCGATCCTTAAATAATAATGTATATAAAAGTATATTTAACATATTATTATAATACGAAATAGGTTTTTTAATAAATCCATTTTTTAATTTATTTTAATTTTTAGGGGTATGCAGTCACATACGAGCAGTTGAATACTTTACAGCTTCTATACGTAAGCCTGATTTGTTTAAAGCCTACCCATACAGTTCGTGGGAGGAGTATTTAGAAAGAGACACAGGAAACTTAAATAAAAGAGTTGGTGTTCCCATGGGATGGGCGGCTAACCCATCTATACCAATTGGATGCTATTATTTTAAAACCCACGGCGAAGAACAAGAGTACATCATGACCAAAACAACTATTGAGGATAGCGAAGTGGAATACTTATAAAAAAAATTTGAATAAATCGTTTTTATTAAATTTTGTTTTAATTTTTTTAAATTACATAATAAATCTAGGACCCAACCAACCAACCAACCAATTCTTATAAATAAATGACATTCTTGAATTAAACGTAAAAAATGATATCCCACATTTTTTGCCAGCTCTTTGTAGCACATTATGTATGTGTTTTAGGTTAATATAGCACGAATTACATGTCAAATTGTTTTTCGGTGAAGATTTATTAGACAATAGATAATATTGATTGATTTGTGAATATCTTATAAAGCATTAAAAAATTAAATTAAATATTTTTATTTTTTCTGTAAGGATATGTATTATAAATTAAATAAAAGCATATCCTTACAGAAAAAATAAAAATATTCAATTTAATTTTTATATATAAGTCGAATTGGTGTTTTTGGGGCCGCAATGCTTTGATTTAGACATCATTCACAACAATTAAACACTGATTCTTGACAATAGTACTTTTTATTACGATTATCTAACTAGACAAAACGATAGACGCTAAAGATTATACGCACAAAGTAAATTAAAGTATGAAGCTAACGATTATAACGAATCCACGGTCTCCGGGTTTACACGCGTTTTTACCGTCCGATTAAGAAGAATCCACCTTTTTGGATCTTTATCTCCACGTTCCCATAAGACCGTGGCTACGTTTGGTGATCGTTAGTCATCACCTTCACTAATGCATCCTTATCGGAATGCAGACATAATAACTGTTCCTCTAAAATCTATTTCTTAAGTCTTATTTATGATAAACAACATTCCTTATTTTACCAAATTGTTATTTTAATAAACACGCCAATCAAATCAATGTCTATTCTCCGACATAACTATATATATGTAAACATTAATTCTTTAACAATTAGGGACCTTTGTGAAACCCTATAATGGACATACTCAAATATTTATTTTATATTAAACATATGTATATTAGCGAATGTTTAGTCTAGGTATTGCAAAAATAAACTAATATCATTAATAATGATTCATTATTTATGACAAATCGAATTTAATTATTATCTAATATAATAGTCTTGCACATATCCGCCACGTGTACTTATGTACAGAACTGTCGGTCGGCTACGGCTTACAGAACTTTAGTTTGGTTTATTTATAAATTTATAAACAATTTGGTTTATTTATAAATTTTATTTGGTATAATATTTATAATTATTATGGTCTTTGAAAATAGTATATTATGTATCAAGTTTTATAAACGACATTTTAGTTAAGAGTTTAATTAAACACAAGCGAAGCTTTCGAACGAGTGTGTGAAGTTTATAAACGAGTTGCATACTATACCTTATCTACTTTATCTTTATTCTTCAAAATTTAAATAATTTAGATTTATCTGATCAAGCAAAAAAACTCTTTTATCTACTTATAGGTACATTGACAAGCTGTGACAACAGAACATAAGCTGTGACTAAGCTGAGACTTTATGGAGATTTAGTCACAGACTGAAGTTAGAAACAGTGGTTTTTAAGCGTTTTAGTCACGGGCTGAAGTTAACTTTATTATAAATTGGGAAAAAGTGAGGTTAAATTCGGGTGACAATTGACAGATATCAACTTCTTAACAAATAAAATTGGCTTTAAATTCTGATTTGTGTTCGTAGTGGATAAAGTATAGTATGCAACTCGTTTATAAACTTCTCTAGACAGTCGTTTTTATTAAACACTCGCTCGCAAGCTTCGCTTGTGATTAATTAAGCTCTACTAAACTTAAATGAAGTTTATAAAACTTTATACATAATTTACTATATTAGATGCAAAATATTTTTTATCTACTCCTACATTGCCAAGCTGTGAGTTTATGACGTTTTAGTCACGGGCTAAATTGCAAAAATGTGAGGTTAAATTCGTCAAATGTCAAATATTTATAAATTGGCTTTAAATTCTTATTTCTGTTTGTCGTAGATAAAGTATAGTAGGTATAAACTCCTCTAGACACTCGTTTTTATTAAACACTTGCTCGCAAGCTTCGCTCGTATCTAATAAAACTTGCAACTAAAATTGCGTTTATAAAACTTGATACATAATATACTTTTACATTGAATAGCTGTAACTTTATAGCGTTTTAGTCACGGGCTAAAGTTAACAACAGTGGTTTTTGTCCATTGTAGTCACGGACTGAAGTTAGCTTAATTATAAATTGCGAAAAAGTAAGGTTAAATTTGTCAAATCGTCACCTGAGTATTGGTTTGTGCTATCTCCATTTTTTACCATTTTGAGGTTTATGCATTTTCGGAAAGTTGAAGTTGAAAATAGTATTTTGATATAATTGTATCAGTTTTTAGTTTAGGTTAGTCTAAATCCGAGTTTAGTATAAAAGGTTTAAAATTGGTTTACTCTATCTCCAAAATTTCGCTTACAGGCTTTCTTTTGCTCTATGTGTTTGTAAAAATCTGAAAATAATTAGTATTTGTTTGTGCTATATCCATTTTATAACTGTTTTGTGCTATCTCCAATGAAAGCTTCCTTATAAGTCTGTGGCTAAAAGGCATAAGGGGATAAGTCAAAACAATCAATTTTTAAGTAGTGCCTTAAACATGTTTGCATTAATTTAGGAAATACATTTATGGTTAGCGGGTATATCCTTTTGCCAGCACATGTCATATGCTAGAAAAAGGGTATACTCGCTAACCATAAATATATTTCCTGAATTAATGCGAACACGTTTAAGTCTCTACCGAAAAATTGCTTTTTTTGACTTATCCCCTTATGCCTTTTACCCACAGAAGTATAAAATTGTTTTGTTCTATATCCACTTTAGCCAGTACACGTTTTTTTTTACCTATTTACATGTATTTTGACAATAATTATAATCTATATTAAATAAAGTGTTTTTTAATTCAGTTTTGTTTCATGTCCTAAAACTTTGTTATATGTTCAACATTTTGTTTCTAAAATCCAAAACTAGCACTTTTTGTTTTATCTCCAAAACGTTTTTTCCAATATTGAGGCATAAATCCAAATTTGAGATAAGAGTTGCTCAATAGAACTAATTAAAGGCCAAACAAGAATATTGTTATTAATGTTTGATTAAGTTTTCATTAAAAAACAAATAAGATATTTAATGTAAAAGTTTTAAACCCGTTTATCTCGATTATAACATATTGGACATAGAACAAATCAATACTCAGGTGACGAAATGTCAAATATTTATAAATTATTTCTGTTCTTCGTAGATAAAGTATAGTATGCACTCGTTTTATAAACTTCTCTAGACACTCGTTTTTATTAAACACTCTCTCGCAAGCTTCGCTCCTGCATAATAAAACTAAAATAGGGTTTATAAAACTTGATACATCATATGCTATTAAAATAATAAAAACATAAAAATTATAAAGTAAGACAATTGTTTTTTTTTATTTTATACTAATTTATATTGGTAATAATATGTAAAAACTAAATAAATATTAAGTAGAGAGTTATAAACGCATCTTAAACTAGTAAATTTTATAGTATGTAGATCTCAGAGAGTTATGTTTCATTTTTTGGAAAGCTCATGTAAGATTAAAGTAAAATTAAGTTATAAATATATGTAAAACACAATAATGTTACATTCTGATTCTTGCTTCTGTGTAATAAATATCATCTTATGTTTTAAGTTGAAAATAAAAGTTTTAAAAACAGATTTTTTAATTAGAAAAACTTAAATGGGGCAGTCATTAGGGATAAGTGTAGTTTTTTCCAAAATCGTACCGATTGTAACGTGTTTTTGGACTTAAACCATCTTTCCGGCCTTTCTCCAAGTATTTGGTACACCGCAGAGGATCGCCGACGACAAAATCTATTCCTAGCCTTTCTCCAAGTAGAGGACCGTAGAGGACCGCCTTTAATAGACCAGGCCTTTCTCAAAGAAATTGAGGACCACCGAAAACCATTTGTGCAGACCCAAAGACAGGATCACCAAAGGAGTTTCTACGTAAGTCCAAGTTCCTTCACCTCCTACTTTTCTCCCTATAAGAAGGTTATTAGGGTTATTTAGGTTATTTTTAAGAATCAAATTTAAAGGATTAAACCATATAAAATTTTATAAAATATAAATTCTAATTCATTTTAAGTCTATGACAGACAAGTAATTTATTTTTAAATTCATTAAGAGTAGACGATACAAACGAAACTATGAGTACTCGAACAGTAGATACAGTAAGCTTAAATATGCTCAAAATGTTTGTCGACACGATCCCTCGTTTTGATGGTGATGTCAACAATTTAAATAATTTTATTTCTGCTGGACAATTTTTCTTCAGCACGTACGGCGGTACCGAAAACGCCAATTTGAAAAAAAATTGAATTCGCACAATCCAAACTAAATAAATTTTAGTTGGCTCTCGTTCCGAACTTAATACTTGAAAAGACATTAAAGACGCTTTACAAACTTTTTTGGTGACAATCGTAATATAGAATGCCTAGAACAAGACTTGTTTATGGCAAGACCCTTTAAAAATAAATCCCTCCTTGACTTTGGTAAAAGATTACAAATTTTACGAAGTAATCTTGCTCAAAAAATTAGTTTACAAACTATTGACGCAGCTTCAAAGAAAATTTACATATTAAACTATAACAAACTCACTTTAAGAACATATATTCGTGGGTTATCACCCCAAATTCAATGTATTATTAGACTTAAAAACCCCACTTCTTTAGAAGAAGCATTAATATACATAACTGAGGAAGAAAACTTCCAATATCCTCAAAATCTATTTAAAGCAGCTCCGACACATAACGTAAGACCGACATTTTCTCATGACCCACAACATAAACAAAATAATCAATTTTATCCGCAACCTAACTATCATTATTATAATAATAATAATCCTAATAATTATAAATCCAATCAAAATTATCATCAAGCTAACCATTTCCCAAGAAACTTTCCAGCATTACAATCCCCAAATTCTTCAGGATTCCCCAGCCAACCAATTCCCATTCAACTCCGTCAAGTACCACAACTTTTCCAATAACCAAGTT